CGCCCCCGTGTCCTACCACACCTGCTCCGACACAGTGCGCTGCGGCCAATCTACTCGGCCCGAATAATCTCCCAGCTTCGCGGTCGGAAGGTACTTTATTCGGCTAGCTAAATGTAAGGCATGCGTTCAACATGACTCAAGGCCCAACAACGGTCGGTCCTTAATCGACATAGACGGAAAGCACTACAGTCCAAAACTCTGTAAGTCTCCGCCCGGTCTCAACTTCATTTAACACTTAGTTATACCATGACTTCATAGTCATCCAAGCAGATCCAGGTAACCACCTATAGCTCGCAGGTGACAGGAAATCACCCGATTTCTACTGGTCTAAGCCAGCTAAGCATTGACTCGACTGCGGATACCAGGGTAACAAGGATATAGTATAACAAAGGTAGACAAGGTATAATGCAGCAACGGTTGCAAACAACTCCTAAACGTAATGCATCAATTGAAGTAAAGCATTTAATTAATAATTGCAAACCGGGGAGAAAAATGTTCCGGGGCTTGCCTCTCTCGAAGGAGCTCGGGCGGTGATCGGGGCACTCCGGAAGTTCCTCAACGTCCTTCTCGTCGGCTTCGGGCACTTTCTGCGGCTGCACTTCGAGCTACTCCTCGGGTTCCTCGGGTATGATGACTAGGTTCTCGGTTTACGATTCTGTATGATGCAATGTGCATAAGTGCTTATGCAATCGGTGCATCGGATGAGATGAATACAATGGATATGCTTGAATACAAGGTAGTTAACATCATCCAAGAACATATACTACAAGCACATGTCATCTACTGTATTCTCTTCTACTACTAATATGCTAAGTCAACACATCTTATTAAATGCTTCAAAGATACACCAAAGCTTTACTAATTCCTTAATCACACATAAAACAACACTTGATTAAACCCTAATTAATAATAGGTTTGAATAGTAACATCTATTTTTATTGATTAGAAAAATCTTAGAAAATTACCATAGCACAGTACTACCCTAAGTAGTCTAACATCAGATTTTCATGGTATTTGAATGAGTGGATTAGCCTACACAAAAATAACAAGCTATGGCATGATTATGAACATGAAAATACTTTGTACTGTGAAAAGTGTCAAACAACAGATTTAGTATTTTTCCTATGATCTTCATAGCATACAATCCCTGTACAAAAATTATCACATGCATGTTTTATACAATCTTTGCTCTCTAGCAAAAATAACAAAAATCAACCATTAAAGGCACTTGAACCACACCTCATAATTTTTCTACAGCACATGCATGACACATATTTTTTCTAGGAAGTACATTACATAAGAAGATTAACAAACTTGGAATCATATTTTTCTGAAGCCTATAAGTTTTTCTACACATTTTTTAAATTATCAGCAATATCAAGGATTAAATAAAGTTCTACATAAAAGTATCTAAAAGTGACATGCAATATTTTTCTCATGTAGATCTGGTGACAAGGAACCTAGCAAAATTTATTTCAGCAGATTTGGAGCAAATTTGAGTATACAAATATTTTCCAAATCATTTCTCTTTTCAAATAATAAAGAAAACTAAAAATGAAAACATCATATTGCTACTGGGCCGGCCCGTGGAAACCAGCTGGCCCACGGCCACACTCGGCCTGCTCAGACCGAGCGGAGGGGAGTGCGGCGGCCTGGCTCAGGGCTTCGGCCCACGGCCACTGGGCCCAGCTCGGCCGAGGCGAAGGGGGGTTAACGCCGGCGTCGAGACACCGCGGCGGCGCGGCTCGGCCAGCGGGCCGGCGGCCATTGCCGGCCGGGTCAGGGCAAGCGCATGGGGTTCGCAAGGAGTTGGCGAATGCGAGCAGGCCAATAGGAAGGGTGAAGGAGGGGAAGAAGGGTGAGTTCCACGACGACCGAGCACGGCGGCGCCATGGCTGACGGCGGCGAAGCTTGGAAAATGCGCTACCTTGGCTCAAAAGACGTCACAACCGCGAGCACTAGGTGCCGGAGAGCGAGGCGGAGCTGCTGGCGCTTGATTGCTGGCCGTGGTGGAGCACCAACGGCGGATTCGGCCGACGGGGCTGCGGTGGCGCTGTGCTCTGCCACGGCGAGAGGAGGGGCGAGCACGCGAGACGAGAGAGCGGGCGGGAGTTGAGTGGAGAGTAGCGCAGCGACTTCGGCAGATGAATGCGGGCGCGTGGGAGCGGACGCAGGCCGTGGCTGCCGCACGGCGACCGTCGCCGGCGCATGGCCACCACGCGGCGGTCGCGTTCTGACACGGTCGGGACGCGGCGCGGGCGAACGGCGCGGTGCAGCGCGGTCGGCAGGCCAGACGCGCGCGGGGCTGGGCTGGGCCGAGGAGAGGTGGGCTGGCGCGGGAGGCGGGCGCTGCTGCAGGCCGGGCCAGCTTCGGCCGTGGGCCGAGAAGCGAGGCGGCGGCCCGCGAAAGGAGAAAAGCTTTTTTTTTCAAATTATGTTTTTAATAAATTTTCAAATACCAGTTTTCAAATATCATTTTGAGCAAGAAAATGACATCTTTTGAAAATGTCCCAAAAATGAAAGTTGCTTAGAATTTAATCCTCTACAACTTTGCTTTTATGACCAAAGTCCAATTCTTGCTAGATTTTGAATTATAAAATAAAAGTCGATTTTAACTCAAAACCCTAATTTTGGAGAATTATTTTTAAAGCAGAATTTGGCAATAATTGCAATACAAACTTTGCTCCAAAAAATACGCTAAATAATTATAGATGATTTACAATCATAGCCGAACATGTTTTACTAACCTAACAAGCATAATCATGGCAAAACAACTCTAAACAAGTGTATGCAACATTTATGTTCACGAGCATGTTTCGTATGTTTCAAAACAGAGTTTTATTTATTATTTACATGATTAGACATGTATGATTATGATGTTTGATAATGCATAATATATATGATTTACAGTGCCTAAATGCTGATCATAACATCGGCGTGTTACACTGTCCACTCAACTACCAAGAATAATACTCCAATCGGATCCATGTATCTTGGAGAAGAGGGAGCTCCACCAAACATCCATGGATTGGTGCCACAAACAACAAGACCGGCCAAGAGCGAAGAGCGGAGGCCCGAGGGGCAGCTCTTGCAGCTGTCGGGGGAACAACATCGGGAGGCTAGTCTCCGCTAGGGGATTTCTGATCGCCTCCTGTCCTCTCCTCTCCTGCCCTGCCGCGAGCCGCAACGCAACTACTCTGAAATCTGAATTCGCCGCTTCCCTCCGCCATTCGCATCAATGACATTTATTCCTTCAATTCATTCAGGTAACATCCGCGACGCCCCAGCATCTATATGTTTCGAATGTACATTGCCAGTCAGCCTATAGCTGATTGCGATATGGATCATGGATCGACAGTCCATGCCCTTCACACAATCAAAATCGAATCTTGGTTGCACAACTGGGACAACGCACATCGATTTTACCCCCTCAACATAGGCACGTTTTTATCTGAAAGCACAGCAAATTGGTATTCGGATCAGTTACTTGTGCCATTTCACCTTACTCTTCTTTTGGGGGTTGTGGATCACAAAGCTCATGACTTTATGGACACTAACATTGTACCCTGCATCTCTAAATAGGGAGCAAGAACGGCAGCACAATGCCAGGACAGAAATCATCCTGACGTTCTTCGTAAGTCGGCCGTTTAGACCAGGCTGACAATGTCAGCTTCCGAGTTCAGGATTCCATACCAGCAAGTAAGCGGTTCATATGTTTCAACAATAATTTTTATGTTCTGTGCTGGAGTTTGGTTATCAATGTGTATATACACCGTTGCATTATTCAAGTGCTTTACTGGAGTAGATATGTCTGTTCTGAGTTGGGTAGTAGTAACCACACCGTATAGTTTACTTCAGGCATTCTTGTTATGAATCATTGGTACATAAAAGAGTAAATCACGGAGAATATGCTGCATAATGCATGCCTATGGAGGATATGCTGAAACAAAATCCATGCCTTATTATGCTTTGAATATTCTCTATGTAAAAGCCTCCCCCCTCCTTCCTTTTGCACTAAAGTCAAGTTCACAAGATCACTGTTTAATTGTTTGACCGAGGCACTGTTCTACATGTTCACTTCACTTTGTTTAATTCTCTTGATAGGTTTCTTCTTCACAGCCTACTGAGAATGTAAATCAGTTTAAGACCTGTCGATGTGGGAGGAGACCCGAACTCCACATCTGAAACTGGTGACAGCCCGCCGATCTCTTGTCCTAGTTGCCAGGTTTGTGTAATCTTACAACTAAAGGCTTTGTGCTGCAGTAAAGAAAATAAAAGAAATGGCCTTTTTAATGATGTACTGTGTCCTATAACTAATACGCTGCTCAACATGTATCAGCTGACTTTATACAATTTGATGTTTTTACAAGTTGTCATCACTGTGCATGGCTGCTACTGATGCTTATCTGCAACTTGGCCGTGCCTCAGCATCTGGTCAAAGCGGATTTTTTTTTTTTGAAATGAACGGCAGGAGCTCTGCCTCTCAATTAAGGAAGGAGAGAATAGTTTTATGTACAGGTTTTAGTTCAGCAGCCAAAAAGTGGGGGAGGCAAAGGAGGAAGAAGGATCAACAAACACTGATACAGCTACAGCATGAATCTCAGCTTGCTAGCCTTCCCTTTCTAAAGCCCTTTTCCTTTGTGCATTGTCTTCCTTGACTCTTGCGGCAACCTGCAAAGCCGATTCCTGGGCATTGTTGAAGATTCTTCGATTTCTCTCCTTCCAAAGATTCCAGCATGTGTAAATCACCAAACCGTTGAAGCCTCTTCTTTCCTCTTTTTGCGACCTTGGGCATGGTCTCTTCCCACCAAGTTCTCAAGTGAGCAGGGTCTTGGTCGAACTGTGTCAGCTGGCTGTTGAGGTCAAAGCGAAAGTTATTAGAAACTTATCTTATTAATTGTTGGAAAGTATGCTATTATTTAAGTCATGATAGACAGTAAAAATAGAGAAATATACCTGGTTATTTTCTCCATATCTTTGTAAGAAAACTTTCAAGGACAATGATAAGTATTCTTCTAGTGCAGGTCCTTAAGAGTGGACATTTACTACTTTCATCTAAAGGTATGCTTTCCTGCAAATATGTATGATATTGCATAAATTCTGTGTTCTCCTTCCTCTCCTTTAATACCTTAAATAGTTTATTTATGCTATCCCTTTTTTGGTGCCAAATGGTCATAATTTGTTTAAGCATCAAAGCTTGGTTGCCCCACTTAGTGACCTTCCATAGTTGATCACATTTTACTTTCGAGATAAAACACTACATATTGCATTTTCTATAAACAGGAATTGGATGGACATCATGGAAAAAGCGCTGGTTTATTCTTACAAGGTCATCCCTAGTGTTCTTCAGAAGTGACCCTGTAAGATATACTGCACTAGTTCCTTCAATGTTCCTCCTTTTCCTTAAGTTCTACTGTATTATCTGTACTTTTTTGTGTTTATTTACATCATTATTCATGCGCCAATCTGCTCTCTGTAATATCCTATTCATATGTTTGAGGTAAAATAATTTTTCTTGTAATGAACACTAAAGAAGCTTTCGTAATGCTAATCCGCTTCTCGCGAGGAGATCGTAGCAAATACACTCCCAAATGACGATAACAATGTGAAATCTGCACTTTATTAATGAGATAATATTTTCTTCAAGTTTTACTTTGGCTGTAAGTCTCATCTTACTTTGTTAATCATTACCAGGTAGTGGCTGGAGATATAGTATCTGCTAGACTGACTGAGCTCTGTTTTTATTGGGCCCTGTCAATACGTCTATACCATGATCATTTACCTATACGCACAGCTACTTGTGATAGGGGCATATTGTTGCTCAGATACCCCTATAGATTATCAAATTGACATTACTGCTGTGATGGAAATCAGAATACAATTATCATTGCATACACATTTTGTCAGGGGAAACATTCTGGTGAAACTAGTGGTGAAGTGGGATAGTTACTTTTCGTCCTATTAGTTGGATAACAAAAAGTTGCATAAAAGGTTATTTTTTTAGTATCAAGCCATAAGTACAATTGCTAAAGCTTGTTTTTTTCTTTCCATTTTTGAGTTTTGGTTTCTTAAAAAAATTAACACAGTATTCACTCCCAATTTTGTGCTTTAATTTCAGAATGTGCCCCCACCCAGAGGAGCTGAACCAATTGTTACACTTGGTGGAATCGACTTGAATAGCTCCGGAAGGTATGCAATGAAACCGAAACTTTGACGAAAGGTTGATGATTCTTCCATATTGTCTGATAAGCTTATAATATTGGGGAATGGTTAAGTGTTGTTGTCAAAGAAGACAGGAAACTTTTGACAGTGTTCTTTCCTGATGGCCGTGATGGACGAACTTTCACTCTGAAGGTTAGTTGTCCAGTTCATACAATTTCTGGCATATTGCTTCTGGTGTTCCAATTGGGTTTGGTTATTTGTTGCGGTTTGCACAACTGAGTGTGGCTGGCAGTGATTGAAGTAGCAGTAGTGATGGTTACTTGGTTAGACTGCTCTGGACACCTCCTCTAGATTTGGACCAGTATTGCAATGGATAGCAGAACATAGAAATATACCAGGAAGACAGTTGACAGTTCACTATTCTTACCTAAATGAAGCACAGAGGATCACATTGAAATGAATTTCAGAACTATGTAATATGCTCTTTGAGGGAGTATAAATGTTTTGTTCCTTAACAAAGAGAAGGGATTGTTCAGATAATGATATATTATTGAGGTGCAACTTTATTTGTTTATATAAAAGCCTTTGTTCCGATGTCTTGGAGAACCTGCAATTAGCCATGTATGTGAAATGGAAAATGAAAACGAAGAGCCACATGTGAAACAACCTGCACCATTTCCAAATTACAAGGTATGATTGTAAGATATCGTCAGTATCAGCATTACTATTTTTTTTTCAGTGGCCCAAGTGTTAGCATTTTGACAACGAAGGGAAAAAGAAAAGACATGCCCATGGAGTGGAGCTAGATATCATATATAGTTCTATTGGAGGCGCAACCACCAGTGTTCTTCTGCATGAATATTCTTTGCTTTGCAGAGGACATAGACAGGGAAAATTAATTAACACATGAATCTTAGTGGGTTAAAAAAAGTAGATTTAGTGGGAAGGGTGTACATGGACAATTCCTTGAGTACACAACATAAAGATATTCTGACTATGAAACCATATCATAAATTAAGTGCATGGAAATAATCAAGTTACCTGGTTGCTATGGGTAGTGAAGCGAGATCTATTGTGAATTGTAGTAAGCTATGTCAACAGACTTAAGGAGGACAGAAAGAAACTATTAGTAAAAATCGATATCGTATTATCTTTCTTGAGAAAACAAAGGTGTTTTACTTTTATCTGGTTTCAGATACTGCAATACCTGCACGGAACAGCTAACTTTTTGGTGTGTATGTTTGACATGTCTAAATAATCAAGCGCTGTCTCTGCATCTGCTGTAAGATACACAAGGTTTTCTTCACCATTTTCAGATGCTCCAAGATAAGGTCCTGGCCACTTTTTTCAATGATCCAATTATCAGCATACAGAGAAATTCTTTGAAGATGGCTGGCCCTTTCTCCACTGCCACCTGTGAACCACAAGTGAACTGGCTTTGGAAATCTCCCATTCACTGGATAGCAGTATACAACCTGCAACTGGCATTAGTTAATGGGTAAAAAAAAAATTCAAGGTAATATTAAATTTTGTGCTTGCAGAAGATATAGAGCAGATTTTACAGCAATATTAATGCAGGCATAGGTACTAGTGCCCTTCTCACAAGCTTGCTGTTAAAAAAGTTCAAGAAAGAAATATGGGCACAGAACATCTAGTTACTACAAATGACATAAGGTGCAGTTTTGTAAACCAATGGCACAGTAGTTTATCCAGAAAGTCTGCACTTTGTAGTCAGTTTATAGCCATTGCACATATACTTCAATTCTGATGATCTTAAGAAGAGGGCATCAGTTCAATTATTATTGGTTACTTAGTTTACCAAATTATGAGATTTTTCAAATACACAGGTTAGTCAGTCGCCTCAGATAAACTACTCAGGTGTAGGATCCCTGAAAGAAAACTTACTGGGTCCAGTGCCATCTAGATCATCAATCACTTTATTTGGTCGCATAAGGTCCACAAACTTGAGGTCTGGCACATTTCTTGTCTTTATCGAGAAGGTGGGAGACCAGACCGGAGTCGTAGAGATACCTATCTGCTCTACGAATCTGTTATGGGCTACTCGCTGATTCGAGTCTATGGAGCTGCTGATGATGCGGAGCGTCTTCCTCCTTTGTTAGATGTGGATTGTGTGAAGTCTTATGTCAAGCTTGTTGACCACTATCCCTTCACTACAGATTCAGCTCAGCTTGAACACTGCAAATATATCTCTAAAGGTTGTTACCATCTTGTGTAGTTACTATCAAGTGTTGTTACCATCTTGTGTAGTTACTAATTATCTGTCTTTTCTTTGGTAGCCATTGTCAGCGATGAGCTTAGGCTATTCTTGCAATTGAATTTGCCACCATGGTAAATGTGGAATTGGTCATACACACTTGGTGTTTGTGATCAAAAGCTTGCTGAAGAAATCCAGAAAGAAACTCAGATCCCCTGTGTTAGTGGCCCACATGTGGTGGATCTGTTTCGCGGCGTACATCAGCACTTCCATGCTTTTCTGGAGATTGAGGTTCAGTTTCTCTGTTTTTTTGTGTTTGTTATGTGTAGATTGTTATGTGCCTAGAATGTCATGTTAGGATGTGGTGCTCGAGAATATTAGGGTGTGCGGATCAAGACCATATTGGTCAAACAAATATTTTTATTTATGTGCCTAAAGTTTCTTTTCTCGTATCTGTGTATATTGGTCAAACAAAATGTCATGTTAGGATGTGGTGCTTGAGAATGTTACGGTGTTGCTCGTCTTGATGAATGAGTTTTCTTTGTGTTGATGAAAATTTTATCTCAACGCATTGGCACTTATCTAGTTTCTAATAGGTTATTATTCTTTTTACTGTAGTCCTCAAAAGTTGATATGGAGCTGCTCAGAATAGGGAGACTCTACAGAAGTGTTCTCCTATTTGTACACAGCCATGGATCGATGATGCACCGAAGGCACCGAAGGCGGTATGGTATTTCCTTCTTTTATGTTTCTCTTTTATTTGTATCTATGTCTAATACATAGATCTCATGTTAACAGTCTCTTTTCTGTGTTTTTGTTCATCCAACCCAAAGAGAGAAGGGCGGGATGCTTACTGGTGCAAAGCCAGGATGAGTCTAATGTAATCCATTCATATCCTAGCGGGATGCACGTGCACAGGTGAGGTAATATCCGACGCCCTTTTTGTTTCCCCCCACATATTATCTGTGGATCTGATGGGCTTGTTTGGTTTTTCACCTCTTCTTGACACGCTCACGCTCATGAGCAGGTAGGGATTCGTATCTGTCTACCCCAACCATTCTACGTCTAATTTTTCATTGTGATTTTTAAGGTGATGCTCTGTGTTTTTCTTTCGTTTCTTTTCACATTCATATTTCATTCACATCGTAATTTCTTGTACATTTTATTTACACAACAGAAGACGGCGTGCAAACAGCATTGAGAATGCACCGCTCCTGCTCCTGGGCTTGCTTTCTTGTGCTGCCGGGTTGGACCAGCCCGATTGGCCACCAAAGCGGTGGCGTGTCATGTTCATCTCGGGCACTAGGTTTTACCTCCGCCTCCATCCCAATGGCCGGACAAGCCTGCGGCGTCTTGTCCCTTTGCGTCTCGGAAACCCTCTCGCCGTCGCGCCCCTGTGGTACTCTCTCCCGCTCTCTCCCTGTGGTAGTCTCCCTCCCCCGCTCTCACCGTCGCGGCACTGTGGTACTCCCTCCCACTAGAACCCTTGCTATTTGCACTCACAATTTTTCTGGAATTTCGATTCAAATCTCTTCCGATGTCACGAGACACTCGGATTGGAGGAGATGTCTACTGTGTGGAAAGTGACCCGAGGAGTTGGAGGATGATCGTGATTGTCTCCCCGTCAAGGTGATATGTTCCTAGCTAGTTCATCTATGTAATTTTGTTGTTGCTTACAAGTAATTGCTGCTTTGTTATAATCACTGCGTAACATTCCGACGATTTAAGACGCAGGTTGTCTGATTTTTGTTCCAAGAAATTGCTGCTTTGTTATAATCACTGCGTTGCTTATGGTTGTTGTTTCAGTTCTCCTTTTCGTAAGGGTTCTCTACTGGCTCAGGCCGTATACTCAGTCTCAACAATAGACTGCTGAAGTTTTATGGGGACATTGGATTTTATCACAATGAAGAATTAGATGCCAGAATTGCCTCAGGAAAAAAACACAATTCTACAAGGCAAGCAAGGTTGGCTGGTTGACTGTGAAATTAATCTCGACTTGACAGGAGACAAAAGAGAAAGAAAAGGTTGAAGATGCTCTTACCATTGACTCTCTCGAGATTAATTTCACAGAAACATCTCACCTTGATGGGAAGACAATCATGATCATCCTCCTCCTCAGGTCCACTTCCCACACAATAGACATCTCCAATTCGAGTGCCTCGTGACATCGGAAGAGATCTAAATCGGAATTCCAGAAAAACTGTGAGTGCAAATGGCAAGGGTTCTAGTGGGAGGGAGTACCACAGTGGCGCGACGGCGAGAGCGGGGGAGGGAGAGTACCACAGGGAGAGAGTACCATAGGGGCGAGAGGGTTCCCGAGACGCATAGGGACAAGACGCTGCAGGCTTGTCCGGCCGATTGGGATGGAGGCGGAGGTAAAACCTAGTGCCCGAGATGCACATGACACGCTACCGCTTTGGTGGCCGATCGGGCTGGTCCGACCCGGCCGCACAAGAAAGCAAGCCCAGGAGCAGGAGCGGTGCATTCTCAATGCTGTTTGCACGATGTCTTCTGTTGTGTAAATAAAATGTACAAGAAATTACTATGTGAATGAAATATGAATGTGAAAAGAAACGGGAAAAAAACAGAGCATCACCTTAAAAATCACAATGAAAAATTAGACGTAGAATGGTTGGGGCAGACATACGAATCCCTCCCTCCCAAACCAAACAAGCCCATCAGATCCACAGATAATATGTGGGTTGTGGGGGGTAACAAAATGGGCGTCGGATATTACCTCACCTGTGCACGTGCATCTCGCTAGGATATGAATGGATTACATTAAGCATCCCACCCTTCTCTCTTTGGGTTGGATGAACAAAAACACATAAAAGAGACTGTTAACATGAGATCTATGTAAAATAAAGAGAAACATAAAAGAAGGAAATACCATACCGCCTTCGGTGCATCATCGATCCATGGCTGTGTATAAATAGGAGAAGGGAGGCCTCTCTCTCTGTCTGTCTCCATGGCTGAGTACTTAGAACTAAAGGTATCGGATGCCTCTCTCCACAGCGAGAGAGAGACAGAGGCCATGGCTGCGGGAGAGAGCGAGACCTAGGCCATGGCTGAGGACAGAGAGAAGATGGGAGCGCCAAAGGAGCCAAGAACAACGCGTGGATGGATGGATGGGAATGAGAATGAGAAGAGACATATGGAGGCGGCCAAGTCCTCCACCTCCACCAACTGTAGTGTGTTTATTTATAGATTGATTGAAGAGCTGCGAGAGCGTGCCTTGGCGTACTCCTAGCAGTAGGTAGAAAAATTAAATTAGGCGGCGTTCAGCCAGCTCCCAACAAAGTCAGCCTGGCCGTTCGGTTTTAACCGTTAATTGATTCGGTTTATTCGGTTATAAAAACTTTGGTTTCTAGCCTCCATCACCTGTTCGGTTCTGCTGAAAGCGAAAACTGCAAAATTCAGTTTCGGTTTTTTTAATTCGGTTTTCAGTTTTAATCGAATTAACCGAGACATCTCGCCAGCCGCTAGGATCCCATCGCCATTGTCGTCCGTGCGCCTTGAAACTCTTCTGCCGCCGTTGCTCACGCTGGATCCCGCCATGCTGCGTCGCCAGCGCTAGGATCCCGCCACTTGTCACCACATTTGGGATCCCTTGCCGTCACCAGCGTTGGGATCCCACGCCCTGACTGACATGACCTTCCTCGAACCACCTCGAACCCAAGAATGGCAGTCGTCATATTTCCCTTCTAGATCTAGATCTAGAGAGGAAAGGAGAGGAGATGGGGGTGGCCTCACGCCCAGAGAGGAGGGGCGGTGGCGTGAGGAGGAGGAGAGGGCGATGCAGTCTTGTCGAGAGGAAGATAGGAGGGTGGCGGACTGCCTACACCACCGCAAAGGAAGGGAGGAGGCGGGTGGACGGCGGATGTGAAGGAGTCGGAGGGAGAGCCGGAGAGAGAGAGCCTTGCAGGGGGACGCGAGCGACGGAGGAGAGCACGAGCCGCGCTTGACGGAGTAGGGCCATGGTGTTGGAGGAAGAGGATCGAGGAGGCGGAGTTGGTGGAGGAGAGGTGGAGTTGCCGACGCCGATGCGGCGCCAAGTCTTGACGCGAGGAGGAGGCGGATCTGAGTGCGTGAGCGAGAAGAGGCGGACGCGAACTGAGGAGGGGGCGGACTTAGCACGATTGAATGATTTTTTCGGGTCCGTGAACCATGCTCATGTCTCACAGACGCGTGTGTACATCGGTTTGTTCGGTTAATCGGTTCGGTTTGAGTATAAAACCGAAGTCGAAGCCGAACACCGAACAATGCAAAACTAGAAACCGAACCGCA